CTCCCAGCTGTCCCAGGCCGGTGGATTAGCCACGCCAGCGGTCGAGGTAACTCTTCCAGACGCCATTCACATCGCGGTGGTTCAAGATACGCTTCACTAGGGAGCGTTGATTACCGCTTGAGTCCACCAAAGGATGTGGTGGCGGTGGGAACACCTGATCCGGCTCGAGGGTCGGATCAGCTTGGTTTTCAGGAGCTGAACCGTGTAACGGAACAGTTGCAAGATGAACTGGCTTATGAACGATCTCGGCGTTACGGGCTTGAGGATCTTGTAAGAGATAGTTACAATTTCCTAACGCACGATCGTTCGGACGATCGTGCCGCTTTTGCGTTCGCACGACTTGATATCTACCGTTTAGTTCGTTTTCTTCGTGACGAGATGGCTGCAGCTCGGCAGGATTTCGCCCAACTTCGTGACCAGGTCGCTTCGCTAGTCGACTAGACTGGCTAGTTGAAACGGCACCACTCGAGGGTGGTCTCGGCTCTTGACCGTGTAGTTGTTTCCGACTCTCGAAACGGGCTCGTACTGATAGTACAGGCGGAGACGTCCAACGTAAAACGTAGGATGCGTACGCATCTTACGGGGCAGTTCAATCGTGTATGCTTTGCCCATTCGGCGCAACACACGAGATGGACCAATGTACCTGGGCAGTAATTTACTGCTTCCTACGTTTGTCACTGCGTGTTTCGGTAAGTTTACTGCTGACAGCAAAACTTTATCTTTTTCGTTGAATGAAAGAATATTTGCTCTTCTCTGTTTGTCTGCGTTTCTCTTCTGTCTGTCTAATGCATCTGCAATAGAGTCTTGAGCGAAGCTGACAACCGCTCGCGAGTCAGCAGAAATTCCTCTAATTATTCATCCTTGTCAACAGCAGTTCGCTTCGTGTGCACTGCTAAAAGAACGTTGTCTTCACCAATGAGGGCGTCATCGTCCTCACTTTGGCGGTCATTGGCGATGCTGAATATGCCAGCATCGTCGTCATCATCATCATCGATATCGATCGCGTCGACATCGGAATCCATCACGTCGACACCATTGTCGACGGGTGATGAGCAAGAACCAGAACGGTTTTTGTTCGAGCGAGTCCACCCCCCCCTAAACTAGAGTCACACTATAAGAAGGCGGGTAACCGTGGATGGCGTAGGCCATTCACGACGAACGGTGTATGCGAAGTCGACGCATGCTACGGGTTGCTGATGACGTTTTCCTCCATCGGCAAGAACTCACTCCAGCTCGTAAACGAGTGGACATACCCTCAAAGTATCTCTTCGAGAACGCGGTTGACGCGTTTCGTTTGGCCATCCGTTTCGGGACGGTCAGAAGTTGACATCGTCAAACGTGTTCCAAGTGAACGGAACACGGATTGCCAGAACTCCGCTGTGAATCGGGGGTCTCTGTCGAATACGAGTTCACGGGGCAACCCATGAAGTCGGAAGATAGTATCGATGAAGACACGCGCACAGCCATGGGCTGTGATTGACTCCGGTACAGCAACAAGATGTACCATCTTGCTGAACCGATCAACAAACACAAGAATACCAGTATTCTTGTGAACGTCTTTGGGAAAATTGAAGACGAAGTCCATCGATACGGACTGCCAACACTCGGAAGGAATCGGAAGAGACTGCAAGGGTGCGCGGGATGAAGGACTAGGCTTCACCCGTTGACAAAATTCGCAAGCGCGAATGTATCTCCGCACAAACTCATACTGGCGGGGCCAGTAGAAGTCACGACTAACCATGAGGTAAGTCTTTTCTCTACCGCGATGCCCACTGGTAGGGGCATCATGACACTCATACATGATGCGCAGTCCCAAATAATCATGAGCGGGGACGACGATACGATGTTTGTCGCCGTTGACTGCTGTAAATTACAACAGTCCATCACGAACAGAATTTCGTTCGGTTGAGGAGTGGTATTGAGACGACCAGCTTTTCAAAGCTTGACTGCATGGATTAGACACGTAAATCATCAATTGCAGAAGAAGCTCAGCTTCCGCGTATGCTTTTTGCACGTCGCCGAGTCTGCTCGACGACGGAACACTAGTTGATAGTGCTGCAATAGTGGGATCATCCCTGCTGTTGTGTTGAGCAGTCGGCTTGAAATCGGGCCGACGCGAAAGAGCATCATCGACAACATTAAGTCTTCCTAGTTTATACTCTGCGGAGAAGTTGTACTCCGCGAAGAAAGACAGCCACCTCGCCACGCGTTGCGAGAGATGTGGACTGTTTGCGGCCGTGCGTAACGACGCATGGTCGGTATAAATGACGAAGGGCCTATCTCCTAAAAGATGTACCCGAAACTTGGCCAGTGCATATTTCATGGCAAGGGATTCCTTTGTCATGAACCGGGTAATTTCGCTCAGCTGATTGCAGCTGACAAGATTGATAACAGACGACGCACTCAACCCCTTCTGAGTCGTACTGCATTAATGCGCAGCGCGTTGCAAAATCGCTGTCGTCACATACCACATGTAATGGTCTGTCCTGGTATGCAATCTATAAAAGAGGCGATTGTATCAAGATGTTCTTGATACCTTCACAGGATTGCTGACACTCAGCACTTCATGATCACCTCTTGTTTTTCTTCAACAAACCAGAGAGATGTACGGTCATCTTGGCGTAGTTGCGCGAGTACTTGTGCAATTATGCCGCTAAGCCAATGGATTTTCGAAGTCCCTTGAGGTCGACTGGCACAGGACAGTCGCTAATCGCCTTGAACTTTATCCGGATCAAGGCGTACACCGTTTTTACCCACGATGCAGACAAGAAGTGGTATTTCGTTCGCTGCGAATCTGCACTTCTTGAGGTTCGCGAACAACTTATGCTCGCGCGTATGTGTAAGAACCTTCCGGACGTGGATTCTATGAACCTCCACGTCCGTCTTTCCATCCATAGCCCGGCTGTGGACAAAGACATCGTCAAAGTAACTCGGTCCGAAATCGCGCGCCGATCGCAACAGATCCGTAACACATATGTTGAACGTTGCAGGGGCGTTATTTAGCCCCTGTGCCATCACTAGCCACTCTCAGAGCATAACACTGGGGGTGCTCACTGCTGTGCACGGGATATCCTGTTCACGCAGGAGGATCTGATAGAAGCCATCTATCAAATCCATGGATGAAAAGATGGTACTCTTTGCCATACCATCTATGATGACATCCTTTCTAGGTATCGGCGGTTGAGCCGGTACCGTTGCATTATTCAATTTGTTGAACGCATGCGCTATCCGCCACCCTCCTGTGGCCTTTCGCACATAGAAGGTCGGAGAGCTATGTGGGGTAGTTGATTCCATCACATGGCCCGCAGCTAAGCGATCGGCAAAGAATTTGTCGATCGCTGTGACCTGTTCACGGGGAAGTGTCCACTGCTTCATGACACAGTACTTCGAACCAGGTTTCAGTCCGGTCTCATGCCGAGTGCCTTTGTCCTTGGGCAGCTCGCATGGCACGGATTCCGGGAAAACATCACTGAATTCAAACGAATCCTTATACAAAGCATTTGTCTTCAAAGACTCCCGAGATTTAAAAGTGTATCACTCAATCCGGGTCTTCTCACTAAGGAAACTCTCGTCCATAGATAAACTACTGAGAACCCGTTCGTTCTCAGAAAACACTTGTGCCGACCGAATGTCGGCGACGTACTCGTCCTCTGTGACGAGTACGCAGATCTGCTTGATCTTGTCACTACGCAGATCTCGCAAGAATCTTTTAGATTTTGGCGTTGGCAACTTGACTACCTCCGAAGCTGACTTTGGGGGCGTCACCAGATTAAGTGTTTAAGCGCCTACACTTGATCCGTCATTCACCAAGCCATTTACTGACTCGGTGATTTCCTGGGAAAACACATCCGCAGGTGGTTGGGGATCAACACCCTCAACATAACTCTCGCGGCATTTATTCATCTCAGGAACGCTGTATTTTTCTTCCGTTAGGTGTACTAGCACGTTCGCGTCCTCTTCGATCGACTCTCTTTTAGTCGAGCGGGCTTGCTCTACGATCGACTCTCTGATAATCGATATCGTTTCAAGTGTTGCTCATCCTGAACAAAACTTATCTCTCTTCTCGGATGCACCCTTCTTGGTGTGTATCCGTGTTCCAGTCCACTCGATCTTTTCGAGTAGTGAACCTTCGGCACAGCCTGTGTCTCAATACAGGTGCCGGAAGCTGGTTCCACCGTCTTCTGGTCTTCTAATCTATGATCTTGTGCAATCGTACTAACGACCGTAGCACAGGTGGGGCCATCGCACTCACTTATAGTACATCCACACGCTTGTGAACGCTCCAAGACGTTCATTGAATGGCCATCTAATGAACAAACGGCAAGCATCTTCACGGGTCGATGCTGCCAGCTAACCCATGGCCGGTAATTTCTTAGCCACGGTATTCCAAGGATGACATCGAATTTGTCATCCAAATCTAATGCGATAAAGTCATCATCGTATTGTTTTCCTTCTATCGTGTACTGGATTTTCACCACACGCTTGTTCACTGTTACAGATGCGCCTGTAGCAAGGCACACCGTCATCCTCGTTCGAGGGAACTCTCGCTCAACATAGTTGAGACTACTATCCTCTAGCAACTGGCGTCAAAAAAAAACTTTTCGACTCACCACAATTAATTAGAACGCGAAGTGACATTCCGTTCGTCACATCGATCTTCAAGTGATGAGGGACACCTCATCACTAGGGACAGCAACACACAAATACTGCGTGTTGGGAGCAATCTTCGTCAAGAGTCCTGCAAATTCTCATGACGTTGCTGGATCAGCAGGGTGCTCCGCCCCTACTGACCCTGACCGTTTTTGGCGGTTCGACTTGCTGTCGCAGCTTGGCGACATGGTCGGACCCACGCCTTGGACCATTTCTCGGCCAACGGTAGTCAACACTTCTTTCTTAGGACGTGATGCGGTGCTTGGGACACAACACTCATGAGCGTAGTGTCCAATCTTCTGAAAGCGATGGCATCTTGCCGTTCGCTTGTGACTCAGAGAGCGAGAGTTCTAGCTCTCAATGTAACAGAGGTCCATGGTTTTGGGACCTCCTGTTTCCTGTCGTCTCGTCGTACGATAGTTTGACGAGTTAGCCTGAGAATGTCTTAGGCTAAAGTCTTCTTGTTCCACATGCGCTTTCGCCTTTTCCAGTGTATGGAAGTTCTCTCGGAACATGTAGGTCTTCACCGGTCCATTTACAAGGCCGTAGATGAACACGTTGATGAGCGTATGCTCATCAACAGGGTTCTCCGTAACGCTACTTGCAAGGTAGCGCAGGTGCTGTGCGTAAGCGTGCACGTCACGCTTACCTTGCTTTAGCCTCAAGAGTGCAGAGCGTGATCTGGACTCGGCTCTCGGCGGCTCAAATGCCTCTTTGAGCCGAGACTTCAAGATCTCCAACGACTCAAACAAGTTTGGGTCGTGAAGCTTGAGCCCTAAGGCCCAAGTCTCTGCTCGTCCTGTCAGATTCGACAGGGCGAAGGTGACTTGCATCTCGTCACCTACGATGTGACGGGCCATGATGGCTTCGTCGAACTCGACGAACCATCCCAAAAGGGAATCCTCTTCGGTTCCGTTGTACCTTACGATATCAATCTTCAAGGTTTCGGATGGACGCATGTGCATCAGCCCGCCCATCGACTGATGAGAGCCTTGCTGCTATGGCAAGGCTATCTTCTGTCGTTCGACGGCAAGTTCCCCTTGTAGGAACTTGTTGATATCAGCATGTTACTGATCTCTGCTTAGAGACTCCAACATACCACTGATGGCGGGTTCGCCCATGATCACACTCATGCGGCCGACTACCTCCCATTCTGAGTCACTCAGATGGGAGTAGCCTTCACGTGTGACGTGAAAGCTGTCGTATTCTACGTCCAACATGAACGTGTTGGACGGACACTAAGTAGTCGTTGGACGGACTACGAAGTGATACCAGGTGTAACGGGACACCCTTTGTTCGGGGTGCCGCGAAACTTCACGTACACTAGTACGTGCAGATGAAGCTAAGCTACTTGAACGACTCGGTCAAGTAAAGGTAAAAAGAGAACAGTATTTAATATAGTAAAGCTATCGATATAACTTTAATCTTCATCTAACTGTGTTAAACTACGTCGTCGTATGACAACAACCTGCTCACCACTCATTACGCGCGTCTAGCAGCGATTGATGGTAATCTATGGTTGACATGTCTTATATCAACAAATCTTGAAGCAGCGCATGAATATTATCTCAAAAAGGGGATCATATCCCTTCAAAATTATCCATTTCGGATAAAATCGGTAGAATATTGTCCTGCTAGACAATCTCCCTGTTGACACCGTTTGGTGTCAATATCGTGTAACGGGCTACCCTGTTACACTACTCACGGGGTTTGGAATGTAGCGAATCGGCATAGCTGATGCCAGATGGTCATGGACCCTCCCGATCATCCTGGCCTCAATTTCGCAAAATCTTCCAGCCGTGCATTGAGATTTCTGGGTCCAAATTTCACGTAATCTTCCAGCCGTGCATCAACTTCGCACCATCTAGCTTATACTCTAACGACTGAGTTGTACGAGTTGGGTCGAGTACACGCCTGATAAGTGTAAATTCAGTTAAAATAAATAATTGTTTATAATCATGTCGCAGAGCTTCTAGTCCCGGTTTAGGGGACTAACGACGACTCCAAGAATCGTACTTACAATGTGCTCTAGAGTAAACGCCACCTCTTACTCTTAACAATTTACTGATACGTAAACTAGACACGTCTCACTTAAAGATCAAAGGGGGACTAAACAATGATTCATTGGTTTCTTCTGTAAAAAATCATTCAACTATCGAATAATAAGATCAAATTACTTCGCGTAGTAATCTTTTACAGATCGATGGATGGTACATCAATCCGTCATCAATGGATGACTGAGGTTATCATCCATTACAATTTTCCAGACAAACTTGGGATTGTATATCACATTTACAAGGTAAACTCTTCTAAAATGATAACGGAATTGTGACCCCGTGACAGCGCTCGATCACCAGCTTGATCCCGTGCATACTACTGCACGATTGATCTACTTAAACATCGAACGCCTGTTGCTCTCGAGTCTACTCTTTTACCTATCCTAGCACAGCAGCACAGCTTCCCATATTGCGACATTTACGTGGATGAACAAAGTGATTACATGGCCGACCCAGCGTTTTTGATAAACCCTGGACACTCGGTTGTTGGGAGCAATCGTTAAAAGCAATCGCTATCTGCAATTACTATGGTTCTTCGTCAGAGCGAAAAAAAGGACTATGGACGATTGCTTGGACCTCATCACTTTTGCTGACGAAGGGGATGTCAGCAAAGTGTATTAGACAAGGTGATGCGCAGAGGTGACTGCTTAACGCAAGTTGACCTTTAGCAAATAACCATGTCATTAGGTATCTAGTTTGCGTCTACTGATGTACTGGCTCACGTCTAAAATCGTGTTAATGCGATACCATCGCATGTCGTCTTTACAATGTTCACGCTATGGCCTTCGCTCAAGCTATTGGTCAAGACCGAAATAATGCTCAGCATACAATACTTAATTTGCATGAACGGCCATCGCGTCATATCTCGTACTCAGACGTGCGTTGGCGCATAACCACATTAGCATGGCTGTCTGTATCAATACCCACGTTTCGCTGATACTTCCTTACACTTGTTCACTGCAAGCCACAGCGATCTAATTCGGTTCTGAAGGTAAAAACTAAAAGTAGTGACTTTCGTAGCTTTTCACCACGCTCACGTCACACAAGCAGCTTAATGTCACTTGTGCCAAGGTTAAGCTGTTTAACACATTTAAAATTAACGCGAAGACAAAACTCACGCCCACAACGTCACACAAAACTTGTAGTGTTCTCTCGTCACCGAACAGATGTCCACACAACAATGATTTCTATGACAACATGCAACAGTAAAAATACGTGACGCATGACCATTATCTCACGCAGACACAGTGATTTTTGTGCTCGGGTGATGAGTGGGATTTCACAGCACGACTCAAAAGCATCATTCATGTGCAATCGAGGATCCTAGAGAGGAGAGAAGCCTTTCAAAGAAGATTGTTTAGATCGTCCCTTAATACTGGACTTTAGTGCTTTACGAAAGTAGACGTGTGCAGGTCAACGATGTGCGTTGACGTTGCGTAAGCACCAGTTGCTGTCTCTAAACATCAAGGTCATGGGCGAGTCGTTCTATGTCATAAGTACGCGAAGATTCCGCGCACGTTCTATTGTCCGTTAATATGCGTATAACTAGACTGGTGTTCAGTATTCATTCGAGACTATCCAACAGTGACTCTTTGAAAGACATGATCAATTTTATCGATGAAACTTAATCAAGTAAGTTGTTTGGGCAGCACTGCGCACCATCCGTTAGGTCCATGATCAGGACCAGAAGCATTTAGCAGGATAGAACTGTTATTTAATTAAGAAGTAACACATTGGGGGTCTTTTTGCGAAAGCATGCTCAGCTCAGAAGAATCACCTCACGAGTCGCACACTGGAGCAATGCGTCTTGCCAAAGCCGCGCTGGTGCCTGCTGTCATCATCCTCGCATCCGATGGGATTCTGCTAAACGCTTATGGACTTGATGACGACGAGACGGAGGCCTATGCCCGTAGATTCCTCTGAAGCAAAGCTGAAGCGGCTGTCCCTGGCGAAGAAAGAGGTCTGGAAAAGTTTGTTGGCTTCATCAAAGGCACCCTCAGGAATCCAATGGCATTCAAGTCCTCGTATCAGAGACTTAATAAGGTCTTGCTAGAGCGACGGGTCTACGATCAAGGACTTGCAACGACAAAGTTTGAAACTGAGCTTACGAACTTAGAGGATGCATTCAAAAAGCGTGGGCCCAACGCCGAATTCTTTGACACTGAAGAATTCTGGCTACTGTTTCACAACCTTGGCGTTGTTAACAGCCGTCTCGCTGATACGCATCGGGTTCAATTGAAAGAATTGCTTCTGAAAAGATTCGACCAAAAAGTCTTGGACGACATCGGCGGTATGGCCATAAAGAGCACAGATCCACTCATGCACGGGTTTGGGAAAGCCGTGATATCGAAAGAAAAAAGAGAGTCAATCGATGTCGAAGCAGCCCGCATTCGTGCCACGGAGGAGACTTGACCCCTTCGAGATGTAGGTAGACAAGGGATGGCCGTAGTGAGATGAAACATGGCAACGTAGTCGCAGATACAAGTTTGTTAGTTTTCAAATACATTTGCTTTTTTTCTTGCGATAGATACTGCTCATGCTGATCTACAGCCGTTTGAGTACGGTATTTGTGTTTTGTCAATAAATAGTCAACATTCTTCCGCTTACTCTTTGAATGGCAGCCGCCATAGTTCATATCCGGAGCATATGAAGTCTTAGTCGGGCATGCTTCTAGCCACTGTGCACCACTCACCAACCATGTAAGCTGTCTGCGACTTTGCCAAATGCAACTAAAAGCATTGAAATACTGCCGTTAGGGACTGTTTTAATCGCGAGCCAAGAAGTGAAGCTATTAGTGACTGTGTATGGTGAATACGAACCTTTTTAACAGACAGATTTTTTTATAAATTTGTCTGTTTACGTTTAAACGCTAGGTATACCACACATCGTACTAAATGCAATTCAGTCTGTCACCTCTTGCTTAATGAAAAGCGCCAGATGTACCGTATGAGTTGCACGAAGTATGATGTGGCTTGTCGCCTATTTGTCTGTGAGAACATTCTATTTACCTTACTCATCGCACTTTGTGCAATTAAGCTTGTCTCCTTCAATGTGTATGTCTATATGTAGTGCTAAAGACAGTGTATTGTTAATTGCACCCCACTTTTCACTAAAGGTGTGGTACCTGTACTGTAACGGGGCACCCTGAAGCTTGTACTGGTGACAGTACAAGCTACTTATTCTGATGACAGAATAAGGCGGTGCCTAGTAACTTCACGTACACTCGTACGTGCAGAGGAAGACGGTAAGAAGAAGCGAGTACTTGGTTAGAGTAAAAAGTAGAACTGTATTTATAATAGTTAATGTCTGTAATAAATCACTATTTATCCTCATCTAACTATGTCCGAATACAAATGTGTAAATCAACTATCTGCTCACCACTCATTGCGTGCGTCTGTCGTGGCGCGTCTTCGTTGGTTGATATAATGGCCTATATCAACCAATTAGGAACTACTCGTAAGTGCTGCAGAAAAATTGTCCTTATGACAATAATCTGAGAAAATAACTCTTATAGTTATACTCTATTAACAATTTCTTATAAATTGTTATGTAACGATTCACCCCGTTACATCACCCCCCCTTAACCATCAGTCACTTTAGTGACTGATTGACTAAATGGATACTCGTCCCAAATCATTTGGGACAGGGTTTGCACTTGTTGGTCCGAGTCCACTTTCCAACATTTCATCGCATGGTTAACAAGCCCATGCGATGCGCGAGCAAGGCCGCCGAGAGCGCGTCCGCACATCTCTGTGCGGACACCAAAGCAGAAACCACAGCAACTGATATCTCATCGGTTGCTGAATCGACTCAGCCTGTGTCACCTGGTGATGCAGGCGCTCGTCATGAAGACACTCATGTCTTCACAGAGTATGAGCTCGGTGTCTCATACTCTCCTGATACGGAAGAGGGATCTGTATCGAAGGCGGTTGAATCCAAGCCGCCTGCCAAGCGTGGCATGGATAATGCTACGCGTCGTAGCATCTTTGGTTCATCTGATGAATAGGATGAACCATCGCCAAAGCGAAGGCGCTCGAGGTCGCGAGACTTGGGCGCTAACAGTGGTGTCGGTTCTTCTATGGACACCACTTTGCAACGAAGTGCCAGTACTTCTGTCGGCACGTCGCAAGAAGAGCGGGACCGCAGTGTATTGCGTGCGTCTCGCTCCCGAAAAGAAAGCATGGCTGCCTCCAAATTCTGTCATGGATAGCTTGTCGGCGACGATGAGTGATCGTTATCGAACACGGTTGTTCGATTCGTCAAGGATCCATCACCTTGACCCCAGTGCGAAAACCTATCGCGCTGAGAATGATTTCTTAATCGATGCTTTCTTTAGACATCGATGGTACAGTGGGAATCACAAGCGTGATGGTCCCTCACTGCTTCAGGCGTGGAACGCCTACATCCATAACCTTGAGGATGTAGGTCGTGACGCTTGGAACGCCAAACTTATCAAAGCTCGTGATAAGTTTGAAAAGCGAACCCCGACAGGTGCACGCTACAAGCTGCATCGTCTGTCAAGGGAGAAAGGATTACCCTGCCTTTCTTGGGGAGACTCGTGCCCATGTTGTGTGAACAACTCTGCACGAGCACCTAAGGAGGCTTACCTCCTTACCAGTCCGTGGTGGCGCGTACGTGTCTCTACTGAGATGTACGAAGGGATTGACAACCTGAAAATTCTTTACGACCGTGCCGGGAAGACTTTCTCCGGCGGTCCTTCTGCGGCACAGGATGCGCCGCGTCGTACTGCTCAACCAGACCCAGTACGTCGATCATCAGTTGGGAGCGGGGCTCCCAAGAATCCCAGGACGAGGGATAGCCGCGCCACCGGACGAGATAACTCGTCCGACGTCCGTTCACGTCGCGGTGGTTCAACAGCTGCTCAACTAGATAGCGCTGGCCACCGCGAGAGTCCTCTAATGGAGGTGGTGGAGGAGGAAAGACGCTCTCCACACGATCATGTGGATCGGTGTGTTCCCTAGAGCTTCTTTGATCGCGTAACGCAAGGGTTACGCAACGATCTCGAGCATGAGCGGGACAGGCGTCTCCAAATGGCGGACACTGTCTCGAAGCATCGAGCTGAGTTTGCCTTTGCTCAGCTTGAGAACGAGAGATCTCTGACATCTCTTCGTGACGAGCTAAGGGTAGCTCGTGAGATTGTTGATCGGTCTCGGGATGAGATAACTGCTCTTCAGACCCTTGTTGATGCCCACCATCGGGAGCACAAGGCTCTCTGCGAGATGCTTGAGCGCAAGGGCGTTCTTCATCGGAAGAAGCAGCGTACTGATGGTACGGCTTAGGCCGACCAACGTAAAACGAGGGATGCGTTCGCGTCTTACGTGGCAGTTCGATCGTGTAAGTGTTGTCTAGGCGATGCAGTACACGAAATGGGCCGATGTACTTGGGTAGTAGTTTACTGCTACCCAAGTTAGTCACTACATGCTTTGGTAGATTAACCGTAGACAGTAGGACTAAGTCACCTTTATTAAATAAAAGAGTGTTTGCCCTTCCATTCTTGTCAGCGTTTTGCTTTTGCTTGTCCACCGCTTCGGCGATGGAGTCTTGCACAAAACGGACTACCGTTTCACGAGCCAGTATGAACTCATCTGATGACTCGTTAGCTTCAGTGCGCTGTGAGCGCACTGCAGTAACATCAACCTTTTCTTCAGTGAGGGATTCCGCACTCTCACTGGCATCATCCTCTTCAGTGAGGGCTTCCGCACTCTCACTGGCATCATCTTCTTCGATATCGATGTTATCGATATCGACATCAAACGCAATGACCTCTTCGTCAGAGCGTGATGAGCGTGAACCAAATCGGTTTTTGCTCGCGCGAGTCCATCCCCCCTTAAACCAGAGTTACACTCTAGTAAGGTGGGTACACGCGGATGGCGCAAGCCATTCACGTAAAACGGTGTATGTGTCGTGGACGCATGAACCGAGTTGTTGATGGCAAACTCTACCATTGGCAAAAACTCACTCCAACTCTTAAAGGAGTGTACGTATCCTCGAAGTATCTCTTCAAGGACACGGTTGGCACGTTCCGTCTGACCATCTGACTCTGGATGATCAGATGTTGACATCTTCAAGCACGTTCCGAGTGATTTGAACACGGAACGCCAGAAATCAGCAGTGAATCGTGGATCTCTGTCTGATACGAGTTCACGGGGCAACCCATGAAGTCGGAAGATGGTGTCAATAAAGACACAAGCACAGCCACTTGCCGTGATTGACTCTGGTACAGCCACAAGGTGTACCATTTTGCTGAATCTGTCAACAAATACGAGAATACCCGTATTCCCGCGTGCGTCTTTGGGTAACCCGAAGACGAAATCCATTGAGATGGATTCCCAGCACTCAGCCGGAACCGGTAGAGGCTGTAAAGGTGCACGCAGTGAAGGACTTGGCTTCACTCTTGGCAGACTTCGCATGTGCGAACATAATTTCGCACAAACTGATACTGGCGGGGCCAGTAAAAGTCTCGACTTACCGTGAGATATGTTTTCTCCCGGCCACGATGTCCTCCTATAGGAGCATCGTGATACTCGAACATGATCAGCAAACGCAGATCAGTATCATCTGGAATGACAACACGTGGTGTGTCACCAGAAACGGCTGTATATAATAAACCGTTACGAGTAGTGTATCGATCCGATGCAGATCGATACGCAGGCGACAATCGTTTCAACTATTCTCGAGATGGTTGGGAGAGATGTTTCAACAACTTCACAATCTCACCATCTTGGGCGTATGCCCGCCTCACATCATCATACAACGTTGTAGATGGGACTGAGGACGTCATAACCGCAACAGTGACTGTCTCACTGTTGGGTTTCGCGACTATTTCAAAGTCGGGACGACGTGAGAGTGCATCAGCGATGACATTAAGTCGTCCTGGTTTGTACTCGACCGTAAAGTTGTATTCCGCAAAGAATGACAACCACCGCGCCATTCGTTGTGAAAGGTGCGGGCTGTTCACTGCCGTGCGTAATGACGCATGGTCAGTGTAAACAATGAAGGGCCTATCTCCTAATAGATAGACTCTGAACTTCGCGAGTGCATACTTCATGGCAAGGAGTTCCTTGTCATGCACTGGATAGTTCCGATCAGCTGGTTGCAGCTGACGCGACTGATAGCAGACGACGCGTTCAACGCCTTCAAGATCGTACTGCAGTAATGCACAGCCGATTGCGAAATCGCTGGCATCACAGACCACATGAAATGGCCTGTCCTGAACGGCTATTGCTAGGACTGGGGATTGTATCAAGCTCTTCTTGATACCATCAAAGGAGCGCTGACATTCAGCGTTCCATAACCACCTCTCGTTCTTTTTCAACAAACGAGAGAGGTGCACAGTCATCTCGGCGTAATTGCGTGAATACTTATGCAAATACGCCGCTAGCCCAAGGAATTCTCGAAGACCTTTGACATCAACCGGCACAGGCCAGTCGGTGATCGCCTTGATCTTTTCGGGATCAGGACGTACACCGTTCTTACCAACGATGCACCCAAGAAGTGGTATTTCGCTTGCTGCAAATATACACGTCTTGAGGTTAGCATACAATTGATGCTTTCGCATGATTGTAAGAACCTGTCGGACGTGGTACCTGTGAACCTCAACGTCCGATTTTCCATCCATAGCTCGACTATGGATGAATACGTCATCGAAATAACTCGGCGCGAATTCTCGTACTGGTCTCAACAGATGTGACACAAATCTGTTGAACGTGGCAGGGGCATTACTAATCCCTTGTGTCATTACTAGACATTCCCAGAGCATGCCGCTAGGCGTGCTAACTGCGGTATAGGGTATATCCCGTTCCCACATAAGGATTTGATAGAAGCCATCCATCAAATCCATGGACGAAAAGATGGTACTCTTTGACATACCATCAATGATTACGTCCTTCCTCGGTATCGGCGTCTGAGCCGGTACCGTTGCAGCGTTCAATTTGTTGAACGCGTGCACTATCCGCCACCCTCCTGTTGCTTTTCGCACACAGAAGGTAGGAGAGCTATGTGGGGAAGTTGATTCCCTCACATGGCCCGCAGCTAAACGATCGGCAAAGAACTTGTCGATCGCAAGTACTTGTTCACGAGGCAGTGTCCACTGCTTCATGACACAGTACTTCGAGCCTGGTTTAAGCTTGACCTCGTGTCGAGTACCTTTATCCTTCGGTGTATCGTACGGAACAGTTTCAGGGAATACATCCTTGAATTCAACCAAATCTTCATAAAGAGGATTTGTCTTGAGCGATTCCCACGATTGGGAGTCATATCGCTCAACTCGTGTCTTTTCATCTAGGACACTCTCGTCTATCGATGAACTACTGAGAACTCTCTCGTTCTCAGCAAACACTGTTGCTGACCTTATGTCGGCTACACACTCGTCTTCAGCCACGAGTACGCAGATCTGCTTGACTTTGCCACTACGCAGATCACGCAAGAACCTTTTATGTTCGAGCTTTGGCAACTGAGTGATCTCCGAAGTCAACTTCGGAGGCGCAGTCAACTTCGGAGGCGCAGTCAGATCAAGCGTATAAGCGCCTACACTTAATCCATCATTGACTATGACATTCAATGTCTCTGTCATTTCCTGGGGACTTATTCCCTCAGGCCTCGAAGGACTTATTCCTTCGGCTTCCCGGGGACTTATTCCCGCGGGTTTCGGGGAACTTATTTCCACCGTGTCTGTATTATTGGGAGTTATTCCCTTTACTTCCTCTAGCTGTGGTTGCGCAACAACAGCGAGATCCTCTACGAAAGACTCTCCAGTCGATCTAGGATTATCGTTTCGCTTAACCTGAGCGATCGATGGTTTCTCTTCTAGATGTTCCTCGCTAGGGATACATCTTTGTCCCGGTCCACTTGACTTATTCGAGTGGTGGACCTTCGGCGCAGCCTGTGTTTCCTCACAGCCGCCGGAAGCTTGCTCCGAAGTGTAAATGTTTGTTACACTTAGGTTTTGTGCAGTCGTACTAACGACCGTACCACAAGTGAGGCCATCGCACTCACTCGTAGTACATCCACACGCTTGTGGACGAATCAAAACGTTCATCAGATGGCCATCTGATGGACAAGCGGCAGGCATCGTTACTGTTCGATGTTGCCAGTTAACCCGTGGTTCGTACCTTCTGAGCCACGGTATTCCAAGGATGACATCAAATTTGTCATCCAAATCCAATACGATAAAGTCATCGTCATATTGGGTATCTTCTAGCAAATAGCGGATCTTCACTATACGCTTCATGACGGTTACGGATGCGCCTGTCGCAAGACGTACCGTCATCCTCGTAGGAGGTGTGTCACATTCACTGAATTTAAAGTGACCATCTTCCAGCGATTGGCGTCGCACAAAATTATTGGACGCCCCACAATCGACTAGAGCTCGAAGGGAAAACTTATTTGTCACTTCGAGTTTCATGGTAATGAGTGAGATCTCATTACCTAGAGCAGCAACGCACAACGTTTGTGTGTTGGGAGCAACCTTCGTCAAGAGGCCTACAAATTCTCTTGACGTTGCTGGACCAGTAGGGTGCTCCGCACCTACTGATCCTGTCTCTTTTTGACGGTCCATCCCGTTGTTGCGTCTTTGCACCAACAGCGGACCCGCGTCCCTGCCCCTTTCTCATGGGTGGACGGTCACTACGCCCAGTGTCGCGAGACACTGGACGAGGGGCACTACACTCGTAAGCGTAGTGTCCTGTCTTTTGATATCTGTTGCATTTCTGCAACCTTTTGTTGTCTGTAGAGCGAGCCTTCTCGCTCTTTACATAACAGAGTTCCATCGGCTCTGGACCTCCGCTGTCATATCGTCTCGGTTGACGATAGGATGTCGAGCTGGCGCGAGCCTGTCTCAGACTGAAGTCCTCCTGTTCTGTAATGGAAATGGCTTGTTCTAGTGAATCTAGTTCAAGCCAGAGCAGGTGATTCTTGACGGGACCATCCGCAAGACCCTGCATGAACACCAAAACCAACGTGTGTTCATCCACCGGATTGGAACTTATACAACTCGTGAGATGTCGTATATGTTGAGCGTAAGCGTGCACATCACGCTTACCCTGCTTGAGCTTCAAGAGTTCGGTTCGAGCTCTGAACTCAGCTCTAGGCGGTTCAAACGTTTGTCTGAGCCGCGACTTGAAGAGTTCCAACGACCCAAACGCATATGGGTCGTGCAACTTGAGCCCCAGTGCCCAAGTCTTGGCACGTCCTGCCAGATTTGACTGGGCAAATGCAACTTGCATATCCCCGTCGTCGATGCGACGCGCCCTTATGGCGTCATCCAATTCGACGAACCATC